GGGAGTGGGTCTACCTGAGACACACCTAAAGGAGCAGGACCTCGAGGGGGGAGGGGGTCTACCGAAGGGGGACCAGGAGCAAGGAAGAGCGGCGGGGGAGGGGGAGGGGCAGTGCGGTAGGGGAAGAGATGGTAAAAGGGAACCGACTCGTCAAACGTGACGTCCTGAGAGGACAGAACATGGCGCGAGGTGGGGTGGTAAAACTGCCAGCCAGGCGCATCAGGGGGAAAACTAAGGAAGACACAGGGAATGGCGAGGTCTCCGACACGGAGACACGGGGCCAGAGGTTGAGCTGATGCGCAGTGTACCGGACCGCAAACAGGCCACAGAAAATGGGGGGCAGCTGCATGGATCTTGGAGGTACGAGCGACCTCCATGACTAGGCCAATGCGGCGCTCAGCAACCCCATTCTGCTACGGAGAGGCCGGAAGCGTGAACGACTGGGTGATGCCCTCCCCATAACAAAAGTTCCGCAAGAGGTCGGGGGAGAACTCACCACCTCTGTCAGAGTTCAGACGCAGGAAAGGAAGGTCCGTGTCGAACCGCTCGCGGAGCTAGAGACAGATAGTGCGGATACAAGGGATCAAGACATGAGGGACCTCACCCTTGCTGCGCAAGGGGAAGACCGTGGTGTAACGCGAGTAGTCGTCAAGAACCAGCAGAAAGTATCGCTCGTGGCCTTGTCCCTAGACGCGGGCTGGGCCCCACATGTCCAAGTGGAGAGTCTGCAGGGGAGCAGTCGTCGGGGGAAACGAGGAAGAGTGAGGAGCGGCGCGCTGCCACCCGTCGACACAGGGAAGGCAGGGAGGGGCAGGCGAGGGTGGGAGGGGAGGCAGAGACCTGGGAAGACCAGAGACAAGAAGGCGAGAGTGCATACCACGGATGCGTGGCAGAGAGGGGTGACCAAGGCGGTGGTGCCAAAGGAGAGCCTGGTGCGATAGGACATGACACGAGCAGGAGGCTGCTAGCTGACCTGACGCGGACGCAGACGCAACTACCTGAGGAGGCGCAGTAGTCAGTGTGTACAAGCTCGGCCCAGGCTGACGGGTGAACGTGGCCAGGTGACGGCCCGTCGGTGCACACGTGCAGATTGCCACACGCTGTCCTTCAGGAGAAAATGTATTAACCCATTCATCCTGAAGGACGGCGTTGCTCACCAAGTCCGTAGAGAACGAGGGGAGGTGATGACCTAACAGTGAGCCAGACGGAACCGCCGGACAAGGGAGAACAGTGGAGGAACGTGCAAGAACCGGTTCCACAAAGGGGTCAGCCAGAGAGACTGCAACCAGTGCTGCGAGTGGTGTGACTGTGGTGCTGTCGCGAAAGAAGCAGCGGGAAGCATCTGAGTCAAGCGTAAAGGTGTGCAAGGCCTCAGCAGGCGCAGTACCAAAGAGAGCAGACTCACCAGCACCTAGAGCAGAACCACCAGCACCTAAAGCAGCAACCGCTATACCAGGGTTAGGCGGCACACACAGGTAACAGTCACTCTGAGTACTAATAGTCAAAGCATACATGGCAGTGATGATAGTGTCATAGTCTAGAGCAAAGATATCCGCCTTGTTCCGAAGCAGCTCTAGCCAGCGAAGAGCTCAGCCTCGTCGCCAACCACTGCATGCAGGCGCCGCTCAGACAGGCGAAGCAACGAGTCTGTGTGTGACCAATTGTCCCGCAAATCTGACCAGCCCGATCACCTGTGCGAATGACGTACGGGCAGCGGACAGCACTCCAAGTCCCCCCACTCTGAGCGACCACTCACGAAGCTGCAGACGCCGCCGGGGCATAAGGGTCTCGCGCGGACGCCGCTGCAGCTGCATTTGGCACCGCCAGAAACTCCGCACTAAACAGCTCCACTACGACTGCTACTACGGCCGCCACCACCACACCTACTAGCGTACCACTCACGAAGCTGTTGGGGCGTAAGGGCCTCGCGCGAACGCCGCTGCAGCTGCATCTGGCCACCGCCAGAAACTCCCCACCGAACAGCTCCACATCGACTGCTACTACGGCCGCCACCACTCCCATTGCTGCCACCACCGCCATCACCACTCCCACCACTATTACGAAGTGAAGTCATAGCGGGCAAGCAAGGAGGCACGCGACCAGTAGGTCAGTACGGAGGGAAGGCAGTAGCACGAGTAGCAGCACCAGCAGTAAGAGCAGCAGAGCGGCTCGGTGAGACTAGGCTGCAGCACCTCCAGCACTCCTAGCAACACCTCCACCAGCAGCAGCATTAGCACGAGCAGCAGGGCGGATCGAGTTGGGCAGGGCGGCTCGGGCTAGGCGGCGCGGCTCAGCCTGGGCAGCGTGAGCAGCAGGGCGCACTCAGTGCAGGGCAGCAGAGCGCGACGCGCGGGCTGCAGCAGGGCGCGACGCGCGGGGTACCAGAGCGCGACGCGCGGGCTGCCGTAGGGCGCGACGCGGAGGGCAGCATGGCGCGATGCACGGGCTGCAGCAGGACGTGGGACAGGGCGTGCACGGGGCAGCGCGACGCGGGGCAGGGCAGGGCGTGCGCGGGGCAGGGCAGGGCAGGGCGTGCGCATGGCAGGGCAGGGCGTGCGCATGGCAGCGCGACGCAAGGCAGAGCAGGGCGTGCGCGGGGCAGCGCGGCGCAAGGTAGTGCAGGGCGTGCGCGGGGCAGCGCAACGCAAGTCAGGGCAGGGCAGGGCGCGCGCTGACCGCGCAGCGCAAGGCAGGACGTGGGGTAATGTGGTAACTGCAATCAGTCAACAGGAATGGTGGGTCCGAAAAAAAACGGTCCTACAGACTCACTGCTCTGAAACCATGTTAGAAACTAACGAGCAGGAATGATTGCATTGACATCAAACAGAATACAAGTACTAACCCTAATTGGGTTGTACCCCATATAGGCCACCCCACTACAGCCTACACGACATAAGCAGCATTATAGTTTGACACTCATCACCTGTACAATTCATTACTTCTCCTCTTACGCCTCTTGCTGTCTCGGCAAGCCGCCGCAGTCTCCTTGGATCAGCTCTCTCGCAATCTCCTCAAACCGAGCAGAAGCATCTTCTGCCAATCGCTGTGAGAGCTCCTCAAACCGCGAGTAAGCATCCGCTAGCAACTCCCGAGTGAGCTCATCAAACTGAACGCATGCATTCCTCACAGCCGCACCCATGGCTGCACTCAACCTCTCACCCGATCTGTCGACCAACCGGTCGCCCGACCTCTCGCCCGAAACCCCTGCGCCCGAATCCCCTGGCAGGGGGGCTGTACTCACAGCCGCACCCATGGCTGCACTCAACCTCTCATCCACCCTCTCACCCGATCTGTCGACCAACCGGTCGCCCAACCTCTCGCCCGAAACCCCTGCGCTCGAATCCCCTGGCAGGGGGGCTGTACTCACAGCCGCACCCATGGCTGCACTCAACCTCTCACCCACCCTCTCGCCCGAAACCCCTGCATTTAAACCCTTTTTACCTTCTGTAGACCAATCTTTTCCTCTCCAAAAAAACCTTTTATCATTTTGCTCCCTCCCCTCCATCCCACTAATCGAACCACCACCAGTGGCTGCTGCCCCTTGTCTCTGGGCTGTTGCGAGCTCATACCTTCCCTCCCTTCGCTCTCTCTGCTCCATCCCACCAGTCAAACCATGGAGCGTGCCTGCTCCAGCAGTCAAACAATCACCACCACCAGAGGCTGCTGCGCTATTCACGAGGGCTGCTGCAGGTTCATAACTTCCCTCCATTCGCTCTCTCTGCTCCATCCCACCACCCCTACCACCCAGTGAGCCGCCCCCAGCAGTCAAATCACCCGGTGCTGCAGTCAAATCACCCGGTGCTGCAGTCAAATCACCCGGTGGTGCTGCAGCTGCCCCTTGACGCTGGGCTGAGACAGGCTGGGCTGATACAGGCTGGGCTGATACAGGCTGGGCTGATACAGGCTGGGCTGATACAGGCTGGGCTGAAACAGGCTGGGCTGATACAGGCTGGGCTGATGCAGGCTGGGCTGATACAGGCTGGGCTGATACAGGCTGGGCTGATACAGGCTGGGCTGATACAGGTTGGGCTGATACAGGCTGGGCTGATATAGGCTGGGCTGATACAGGCTGGGCTGATACAGGCTGGGCTGATACAGGTTGGGCTGATATAGGCTGGGCTGATACAGGCTGGGCTGATACAGGCTCATAACCTGTCGGCTGAAGGTATGTAATCAGCACAGGGACTGCAGAGGGCCAGGGAGCTGTAGCAGGCCAGGGGGCTGTAGCAGGCCAGGGGGTTGCAGCAGGCCAGGGGGCTGTAGCAGACCAGAGGGTTGCAGCAGGCCCGGAAGCTGTTGCAAAACAAGAGGTCGCAGCAGGCCCGGGGACTGTAGCGGGCCAGGGGGCTGTAGCAGGCCAGGGGGCTGTAGCAGGCCAGGGGGTTGTAGAGGGCCAGGGGACTGCAGAGGTCCAGGGGACTGCAGAGGTCCAGGGGGTTGCAGAGGTCCAGGGGGTTGCAGAGGTCCAGGGGGTTGCAGAGGTCCAAGGGGTTGCAGCAGGCAGGGGGTTTGCAGCAGGCCTGGAAGCTGTTACGAAACAAGAGGTTGCAGCAGGCCCAGGGGCTGTAGCAGGCCAGCGGGCTGTACCAGACCCGGGGGCTGTTGCAAAATAGGGGCCAGACAGAGGGGCTGTAGCAGGGAAGGGGGCTGTAGCACCAGTAGCGAACGTAACTGTGTTACCAGGCATGTGCTGCAGGCTGTTGTCAAATCCGCCGTATTTTCGCATCAGGTCAAGAGTTGAAGGTTCACCAGGATTTGATCCTGTTATTGTGTCAGGAACTGTAGAGTCAGGAACTGTAGACCCACCAGGATTGGATCCTCTTATTGTGTCCGGAACTGTAGACCCACCAGGATTTGATCCTCTTATTGTGTCAGGAGCTGTAGACCCACCAGCGGGAAGCAGACCTGCTGTAGACGCACCAGCAGGACCTATGGTGCTGGGAATTTGAGTGACTTTGTTGCGAAGGCTCATTAGGTAGTTATCAAGGGGGTGCCTCGAGTTAGAGGGTTGCTGCTGCTGCTGCTGCTGCTGCTGCTGCTGCTGCTGCTGCTGCTGCTGCTGCTGCTGCTGCTGCTGCTGCTGCTGCTGCTGCTGCTGCTGCTGCTGCTGCTGCTGCTGCTGCTGCTGCTGCTGCTGCTGCTGCTGCTGCTGCTGCTGCTGCTGCTGCTGCTGCTGCTGCTGCTGCTGCTGCTGCTGCTGCTCCTGCCGCTGCCGTCCAGTCTCCCCCCACCCTGAACCGATGCACTCAGGAAACGCATAAGCTGGCATCTCAGCAGGCTGCCTCCAAGTCGCAAACACCGTACCAACAGCAACACCAGCAGACGCCCAAGCTGCCCTTCTAGCCCTTTTTGCCGCCACGTTTTTCCTTGCCTGAATCTCAATCCCATAGAACAGTCGAACGTACTCAAACCATGGCGGTTCTGTCGTATTCCTAACCCATGCAGGTTCTGCCCCCAGCCCCCTGCCCGTACCCCTCCCCGTCCCCTTAGGCCTTCCCCGCTTCTTTCCCCGCGCCTCCGTGTTCCCCTCTGACTCGTTATTGGGTTGCTCATGCTCATCCGCGTTAGTACACCCTCCCTGCCGCGGCTCAACCGAGCCCCCCGCCTGTTGCTCTGCGCCCGGGGGTATTCCCTTTGCGGGGGACGGTGGCACCCCCGCCCGCCGCGGCACCCCCGCCTGCCCCTTCCGCCACCGTATCCGGCGCGGGTCGCGCGTCTCCGCGTCGTAGCGCGCTCTCATGCGCGCCCACTGCTTCTGCATCGCCGTCGGGACGCGCCGCCATTCGGGGTTCGCGCGCCGGATCGCGCGCCACACCTGCCGCCAGTAAACGAGGTTGCTTCTCCGCATCACCTGCCCGCTGCGCCGGCAGAAAACGACAGCCGCTGCGAGCTCCATCATCTCCGCATCGCTCCACAGCTGGGTCCTCGGGCGCGCCGCGAGCTCCTCCATTATCTCCCATTCCTTGTCGCATCCCCGGAGCTCGTACCACGGGACCTCGAGACCACCGGGTTGCACCACGCGACCCGGTTCCCCCACGCGATCCAACTCCCCCAAGCGATCTGCCTCGGCCTCTGCATCTGTTTCCCTCGCTCGATCCGTATGTCTGTCTCGATCCGTTTCCCTGTCTCGTTCTGTTGACTCATACGGCCTTCCAAACCGCCCTCCGAGGTGGTACTCGTCGATATCGTACGAGTCGTCCGACTCGCCGTATCTTTCGGCGTCGATTTCACCATCGTCGTCGCCGTCGCCGAAGTCGTCGCTAAATTCGTCGCCAAAGTCGTCGTAATCGTCGTCGCTTTTGTCGTTTTCGTCGGCGTCGCAGCAGGTTAACGCGGCAGCGTGATGCTCCTTAATCCACCGAACGAACGGAGGATCGGGTCGCACAATCGCCGCCCAATCGATTTCCGTGACCGTACCGTTACCGTTACCATTACCTGTACGATTCCAAGAAGCCATGATAATTCTGGAGTGAGGCTATTGCCAAGGAGAGACCAGAAAGTCGTGCTACCAGGACGTGTTCAGAATTCGTCCAAACAGCTGGTCCAGGACCAGAAAACACCAGCTGGACAAGACGTGATGACCCTAGACTATATGCTGGACTCTTCGTCTGCCTTACCCGTAACAGAATATGAACTCCTCAACAGAGTACCTTGGGAATAAGATCGGTGGCAGGTATGTGTAGAGAATTGAGATAAGGATAAAAGAGTATGATTGCACAATAGAATAAGACAAGAGTAAACAGTGGAATTGTAGTAAATGAGGATGAGCTTGATAGAAGAGAAGATGATACTTAGAACTTGGGACTATAAAGAGAAACTTGTGTAAGGTGGAATGCTTGATGAGATAAAAACACAAAAATGGAGAAAGAGAGTATGAGCTTGTTGAGAGAATAAGAGAGGGGATAGGCACTTACTTAAATGAATCTTACTAGGGATAGTTGTAGAGGTGACTTGTAGGAATGGCTTGGTCTTGAGAGCTTTACTTGAAGAAGAACATCAAGCTTGGTGTTGGGTGATGATCCTTCCTCAAGCTTGTAGGAAGTAATGAACCTTATACTCAAGTAGAGTATGAGGTGATTACTCTTCACTTGATGCTTAACTTTGTAGACTAATGAGAGACACTTTGTGAGCATAAACTTATATTGAAAGAGGTATAGTACAAGCCTTATAGATCCATGAGGGATACATAGGCATGCATAGAGAGAGTAACCATCAATGGTAGCCTTGGAAGAGAGTTGCATGAGAGTATCAACTTTTGGAGACATAGAACTTGGTTGCTAGTGAGGAGCCTTTGTAGTAGAAGAGGAGCTTGAAGGAGAAGCTTGGAAATGAGCTTGGTGAAGAAGCTTGGAATGCATTGTTGTCATTGAAGAACCTTCTTGAGAAGTTGTAGAGATGCTTGATGTAGATGAATAGTATTGGAGCATGTGATGGTGGTTGAGCACTTGATGAGTTGGAGATGTAAGCCTTGTTGAGTTGGAAGAGAGCTTAGTGAGTTGGATAAGGATGAGTGGAGGAGATGATGAGTTTTGTTGCCTTGTAATAGGAGGTGATGGGATAATCATGAAGTCCTTAGGGATGAGGTGGCAACTTTGGTGACTTGGGAAAGGAATGATGGAAGGAATAAATGAGAGGCATGTGGAGGTTGATGACTAGGAAGTGGAAGCATGTGCTTGAAGGCACATGAGAGGAGGATAATTGGAGGAGGTAGATGACTTGGGTAAACTTTGATGAGTAGGAAAGGAAAGCACATGGAAAATCATGAGGAGTCATGTGCCTTATGGTGGGACTTGAGGATAAGTATGGGAAGTTGGTTTGAATATTGGTTGAGTTGGACTAGGAAAGTCTATGGTGGTTGGGAGTAGTTAAAGAGGTGGTTGATAGGCTTGAGTTGGAGAGGATGAGTTGAAAAAAAAAGGAGTTTGTAACTTGAGTGGTTGGAATAGGCTTTGGAAGAGTTGAGTGGTTTGGATGGGCTCTTAGGAAAATGTGTCGAGGGTGTTTTGAGGGGAAGGGGTTGGAGTGGCACAGTAGCGTGGCACGTGAAGAGCGTGCCATTCACAACACTCCCCCTCACTGCAAGCCCGTACCCTCAAATCCGACTGCTGGGACTAACCCGGCTTGAACTCGGTTGTTGATGAAGATGTCGCGTGCAACGACCTTGGTGAGGAAATCCGCCGCTTGCTCACTCGTGCGGCAAAACAGGGGCTCAATGATTTTCTGCTCCACAAGCTCCCGGACGTAGTGGTACTGCGTCGCAATGTGCTTGGTCCTCCCATGGAAGACTGGGTTCTTGGTGAGAGCGATCGTCGACGTGTTGTCGATGAAGATGGGAGTAGGGCTCTCTTGTGGGAGGTCAAGCTCCTTCAATAGGCCTCTCATCCACACTGCTTCTCGGGCTCCTTGGGTCGCAGCCATGTACTCTGCCTCCGTGGTTGATAAAGCCACACAACTCTGCTTCTTTGACTGCCAAGAGATGGCTGCCCCTCCAAGCATGAAGATGTATCCTCCAGTGGACCTGCGAGTAGGGATATCCCCAGCCCAATTTGCATCCGTGAAGCCATACAGCATGCTTGCACCCTCAAACCCTTGAAAGAGGAGACCAAAGGAAGAGGATGATTTGAGGTAGCGCAGGGCACGAAGTGCCCCACGCTGATGCATGCGAGTAGGTGATGTCATGCATTGAGAGAGCATGGCAACGGTATGGGCAAGATCAGGACGGGTGCAGATGGAGGCGTACATAAGGCTGCCCACTTGGCTCTGGTAGAGTGAGAGCTCAAGGGGTGTGATGTGGGACGTGGACTGTGGTGCATAGGTGTCATGACCAATGTCCTCAGGAGGCTCAAGGCTCTCGACCTCACCCTCAAGATCAGTGACCTCTGATTCAACAGTGGAAGGGTCAATGCTTTGCTCGTGTGAGCTTGGCATGAAGTCCGAGGGGAGTGGGGTCTCAACTGGGTTGCAGTTAAGGAGACCAAACCTTGAAAGGACCTTCTCAGTGTACCTCTGCTGTGAGATGAAAAGTGACTTGGTGGTGCGGTCCCTCACGATGTTCATACCAAGGTAGTGTGAGGGCTGACTCATGTCTGTCATGATGAAGTCTTGGGTGAGCATACCTTTGATGCGTGTCAGGAGACTCAAGGATGCTGACACGAGGAGGATGTCGTCCACATAGACTAGGAGCCACAAGGACTCCCCCTCACTTGTGCGTAGGATGTACAGTGCTGCATCGAACTGTGACTTGGTGAAACCTTGGGTGAGGAGTGATACCTCAAGGGTGTGAAACCAGACTCGTGGTGCTTGCTTTAGTCCATAGAGGGACTTCAGCAGCCTGCAGACGTTGGTGGTACCATCGGAGTAACCTTCGGGCTGTACCATGTAGATCTCTTCGTCGAGCTTACCATAGAGAAAGGCATTCTTCACATCCATTTGATGGATGTGGAGATCCTTCACTGTGGCCATTACCAGGAGGCACCTGACTGTGGTGTACTTGGCTACGGCAGAGAAGGTCTCTGTGTAGTCCGTGCCTGGCATCTGTGAGAAACCTTTGGCTACCAGGCGTGCCTTGAATCGGTCCAGTGTACCGTCTCCCTTCACTTTCACTCGGTATGTCCACTTAACCTTTAGTGCTCTCTTACCAGGAGGGAGTGGTGCAAGGACCCATGTACCTTGTGCAAGGAGGCTGTTAATCTCTTCTCTCTCTGCCTTTACCCACTCTGCCCTCTCAGCGCTTGCCAGTGCTTGTTTGCGAGTGGATGGCTCAGGTGGGAGGCAACTGATGGCGTGACACATGGCGACTACCTTGCAGTCCATGCAGTGAGGATCGGCACACTTGGTTGTGACTGGGAAGCATGCACCGACTGCGAGGTTCAAGCGCTGCACTGGCTTGCGTGCTCGTTTGGGACGCTGTGAATGCTCGGTGATACCTTCGTGACTCGTGTTACCGTTAGGGATGGTTGGAGGTGCTGAAAGAGTGATTGTCTCAGGAACATCATTTGGTGGTTGAACGGGTTGAAGCGGCTTGTCTGCTGCGTCAGGGATAATGGTTGAAGTGTTGACTGGAGGTGAAGAAGTAGATGATACGGTTGAAGACAGCTTCTCTGCGACTGGCTGCTGCTCAGGTGTTGACTTTCGCGTTAAGGGCTGCTCCATCGAGGGTTGGAGAGAAGACGGCTCGTCGGTGAAGAGAGGCGGTGACGTGTGGTTTGGCTCATGTTGACTCTGCTGCTGCTCATGAGAAGGTGTGTTGTTTTCAGGTATAGGTGGAGATGGTGTGGTATCTCCAGCAGGTGCACTTGGAGAGGGCTCCACTGCGGGTGTTGTGGTGAGTCCTGGTGGAGTGGGGAGAGGGTCTTCGAGAGAGGGAGAAGGAGGTAGATAGTTTAACTTCCATCGAGCGAGGGACATGTCTTCATGGAAGATCACGTCCCTGCTCACAATCTCCTTGGTAAGGAGAGGGTCCCAAAGAATCCAGCCCTTGCTCTCCTTGCTCAAGCCAATGTGCACGGCCCAACGTGTCTTGCTCTCAAACTTTCCTCTCTTTTCATCGGGAATGCGGTATTGTGCCATGCACCCAAACACACGCAACATGGAAACATCGGGCTTCTTCCCATGCCATGCTTCAAATGGGGTGATACCTGAAGGAAGAGCGATGGTTGGGCGACGATTCTTGAGGTGGGCGGCATGGTTCACGGCTTCTCCCCACCATGCATCGTCCAGCTTCATGTGCAAGAGAAGAGATCTTGCAATTTCCTGCAAGGTGCGGTTGAACCTTTCGGCAATGCCGTTCTGCTGAGGGGTGTAGGGGCATGAAAGCTCTTGTGCAATGCCAATGGATGAGAGGTGATTGCGAAATGACTTACTCATGTATTCTCCCCCTCTGTCCGAGTGCAGAGTCTTGACTTGAAGGCCGGTTGTGTTCTTGATGTGTTCGTGCCACACTTTGAATGCTTCGGGAACAAGGTCTTTGGACTCAAGAAGGAAGACCCATGCAAAACGTGTCTTATGATCGATGAGGGTCATGATGAATCGCTTGCCCGTGCGACTGAGCGTGCGAGCAGGACCAATGATGTCACTATGAACAAGGTCAAGAGGACTTGAGACTTGAACATTGACAGGGGGATGAGGATGGTGTGTGTGCTTGGCTTCAACGCATGAAGGGCATGGAGAAAGTGAGGAGGGAGACTCGGAGCTTGGTGTGATGCGAAGACCTTCAAGACTTGCATGTGCGGTGATGGACTTGGAGGTTGATGCTCCAGGATGACCCAAGCGACAATGCCAAATGTAGGGTGTGGTAGCCGTACCTGGGTGAGGCTTTATAGTAGTTGATGCGGCAGCGGTGTAGCCATGGAGTCGACGATACTCTGGGTTCACGTCGAGCTTGAGGCGGTAGAGGCGACCAACTCGCTCGCCACGTGCAATGAGGAGTCCCTGGTAGCGTATCTGCACGGTACCACTTTCGAAGGAAAAGATGCAGTCTTTCTCCTCGAGTTGTCCAACCGACAATAGGTTGGCTCCAAGGTTGGGAACGAGGAGGACACCTGAGATGGAAACCGGCTTGCCGGTGGGGTTGAGAAAGGTGAGAATTCCTTCTCCCGCGGTGGGAGTTGACTCCTTGTTGGCGACGGTGACGGACTTTACTCCTGTGGTGGTGAGAGAATGTAAGAGGGAGGAGTTAGGAGTCATGTGTTGGTCGCACCCACTATCGAGGTACCAATAGTCGGGATCGAACGTCGATGTGGGCGCGGATGAAGTCATGGCAAAACTTATGCCCTGTGGGGTGCTTTGGGAAGAAGTAGTGGGTGTAGAGTTGGAGGGAGTGGGATGGGGTGCTTGAGGTAATGAAGGCGCAAAGCCTTGTAGTGGAGAAGTGTAAAATATAGGCATTGGTTGCATGGGGTAATAGGGAAAGGTATAAGATTGACTTGGGTAGTATTGGGAGGATTGAGGTTGAGCTAAAGGGAATTGTTGAGGCTCATTTTGAGAGCTCACTGCATATGATAGGGCGGCTCGGCCCTTAGCGGTAAGAAGATGAGGCGGAGGGGTCCAATTGGGAGGTTTACGAGGGCACTTAAACCATGGATGCCCCCATTGGTGACAAAAATGACAAGTAAAATTGAACTTCCCCGATTGGGGCTTAGCAGTTTGAGAGGGATTCGATGAGAAGGGTTGATTGGATGAGGAACTTGTTGACGGATAGCGACCAAGGAGAGATGGGTTAGAGGACTTACTTGCTTGTCGTTGGTTCTTACCTTTGTTGTTGTTGAAGTAGTTGTTGTTGTTGGTGGTGTTGCCGTGACCTTGAGTAGAAACGGCGGCCGACCATGCCGGTTTGTTGTTCTCCTCCTTTGACTTAGCAAGCTCGCGTGTTTGATGCTCGTTGATTAGGGTGTTGAAGATGAAGTCGCGCGTCTTTTGCTTCTCGGGAAAAGCTTGTATTGTGCTCCGCATTTGAATCCATTCCGATGAAAGCCCCGCGAGGAGAATCGTGATGAAGAGCTCCTCGGGAACGGTGACTTCGATGACGTCGGCGTCGTTGAGTAGAATCTCCGCGCGCTCCAAGTACTCGGGAATCGTCTCCTTTTGCTCCATCCGCAAGTTGGAGATCTTGCCCCACATTTCCGCCTTGGTGCTCTCGGTGCGAGGTTGATGAAGTCGTGTGAGCCTCTCCCATGCACGCTTGGCACTGTCGGGATGACTCGCGCACGTGAGTAATGACTTGGCATATTGATCTTGGACGGAGTTGAGGAGGTAGAGGTAGGCTTCGGCATTCTTCTTGATCCACGCGGTTTGCTCTGTGGGAGGGGCTTCGGAGGAAGGAGGAGAGAGAGAACCGGAGTAAATGGGCCACCACTCTAGGAGAGTGGAGGCCAATTGGAAACGAATTCGCCACGCTTGGAAGTCCTTTCCATTGAACCGTGACACTTCTAGCTTGGGGGTTAGAGAAGAGGGGGTACACATTTGGGTGTAAATAGGAGAGGGGAGAGTAGAAGATGATGAGGTGTCTTTTCCTCCTGTGTTGCCGCTTACTTCGGAGGAGCTTGATTCTCCTTGCGAAGTGGCACTCTTTGGCTTTGAGCCCTTAGGGGTGGGAGTCATGGAGAATGACAAGAGAGAAGGTTCTTTCTTGAGGGGATTTTTAGCGAAAGCGAGGAAGTAAATGCTCTGATACCAGTAGAGAATTGAGATAAGGATAAAAGAGTATGATTGCACAATAGAATAAGACAAGAGTAAACAATGGAATTGTAGTAAATGAGGATGAGCTTGATAGAAGAGAAGATGATACTTAGAACTTGGGACTATAAAGAGAAACTTGTGTAAGGTGGAATGCTTGATGAGATAAAAACACAAAAATGGAGAAAGAGAGTATGAGCTTGTTGAGAGAATAAGAGAGGGGATAGGCACTTACTTAAATGAATCTTACTAGGGATAGTTGTAGAGGTGACTTGTAGGAATGGCTTGGTCTTGAGAGCTTTACTTGAAGAAGAACATCAAGCTTGGTGTTGGGTGATGATCCTTCCTCAAGCTTGTAGGAAGTAATGAACCTTATACTCAAGTAGAGTATGAGGTGATTACTCTTCACTTGATGCTTAACTTTGTAGACTAATGAGAGACACTTTGTGAGCATAAACTTATATTGAAAGAGGTATAGTACAAGCCTTATAGATCCATGAGGGATACATAGGCATGCATAGAGAGAGTAACCATCAATGGTAGCCTTGGAAGAGAGTTGCATGAGAGTATCAACTTTTGGAGACATAGAACTTGGTTGCTAGTGAGGAGCCTTTGTAGTAGAAGAGGAGCTTGAAGGAGAAGCTTGGAAATGAGCTTGGTGAAGAAGCTTGGAATGCATTGTTGTCATTGAAGAACCTTCTTGAGAAGTTGTAGAGATGCTTGATGTAGATGAATAGTATTGGAGCATGTGATGGTGGTTGAGCACTTGATGAGTTGGAGATGTAAGCCTTGTTGAGTTGGAAGAGAGCTTAGTGAGTTGGATAAGGATGAGTGGAGGAGATGATGAGTTTTGTTGCCTTGTAATAGGAGGTGATGGGATAATCATGAAGTCCTTAGGGATGAGGTGGCAACTTTGGTGACTTGGGAAAGGAATGATGGAAGGAATAAATGAGAGGCATGTGGAGGTTGATGACTAGGAAGTGGAAGCATGTGCTTGAAGGCACATGAGAGGAGGATAATTGGAGGAGGTAGATGACTTGGGTAAACTTTGATGAGTAGGAAAGGAAAGCACATGGAAAATCATGAGGAGTCATGTGCCTTATGGTGGGACTTGAGGATAAGTATGGGAAGTTGGTTTGAATATTGGTTGAGTTGGACTAGGAAAGTCTATGGTGGTTGGGAGTAGTTAAAGAGGTGGTTGATAGGCTTGAGTTGGAGAGGATGAGTTGAAAAAAAAAGGAGTTTGTAACTTGAGTGGTTGGAATAGGCTTTGGAAGAGTTGAGTGGTTTGGATGGGCTCTTAGGAAAATGTGTCGAGGGTGTTTTGAGGGGAAGGGGTTGGAGTGGCACAGTAGCGTGGCACGTGAAGAGCGTGCCATTCACAACAGTATGTTGTCTCAGCAAGTTTTAGACAAACGATCGTTTCAGATCGGTGCTGGAATATCCAGAACGGTTGTACAGGGTTTGGCGTTGGTCCCGATTGGAGGCAGCCTGTCCTGTCTGGAGTTCCCAAGAGCGGTTCTTGCTGGCTCGACTTGTTCCCCCGAATCCCGCTTGTTGTCCAACGCTGAATAATGTAGCACGCGGTCAGCACAAACAGGGTCAGATAAAACAATGAACTAGCGTCAACGAAAGACGAACACCGCAGTTGACGATTTGTAGTTTCGCAAATCACTTTAGTGGCGCTGGAAACCTAGGCAGTGGCTGACGAAGGCAACAACGATAGCGTATCGCCTGTCCGAAAAACCTGTCGCGAATTGGTGTCTGTCCAGCCAATATTGGGGTTGTTCGCAGGGCCGGACCCAGGCTTGCAACGGGATTCAAGTGTCGGCCTGATCGCCACTATCGACCCAGCCACCGCACTATTTACCGCACCTTTTTGAAGCTTATGAAACCTACAGAAACGGTTTGAACCCTTGAAAACAATGACCCTCTGCACAATCATTCAACATCACCACTAAGTTTACTGGAGCTGCAGTGAATTGCAAAACGTTAGGGGTAAAAGGCCGAGACTCATGGTGCAGTGAAATCTATTGAAATCTGTAAGTTTGTGCACCACCAATTTGCTTTCATGCAATTCACCCCCTTTTGCACCTCTTGCAAGCTCAACTAGTTGTAACAATATCTTCAATAAACTCTCTCGCGATCTCCTCAAACTGAGCAGAAGCCTCTTCTGCCGATAGTAGTGTAGTGACAGCTCCTTAAACTGAGAAAAAGCATCTTCTAGCAACTCCTGAGTCCCAAGTGAGCTCCTTGCTCCTGCTTCAACACAACTCACACCTGTACAATTTACCTCCACATGCCATCTCGGCAAGCCGCTGCAGTCTCCCCCATTAGCTCTCTCGCAATCTCAAACTGAACAGAATCATCTTCTGCCAATCTCTCACCCAGGTTGCAACTCACCACTCGTACTACTTACCTCCTCTTGCGCCTCTTGCCATCTCGGCAAGCCGCCGCAGTCTCCTCCATTAACTCTCTCGCAATCTCCTCAAACTGAGCAGAAGCATCTTCTGCCAGTCGCTGTGAAAGCTCCTCAAACCGCGAGTAAGCATCCTGCAGCAACTCTCTTGTGAGCACATCAAACTGAACACACGCGTTTCTCACAGCAGCACCCATGGCTGCACTCAATCTCTCACCCAACCTCCTGCCCCCCCTCTCGCCCCACCTCTCGCCCGAAACCCCTGCATTCGAGCCCTTTCCACCTCCTGTAGACCTCTCCATTCCTCTCCTTGCAGATCTTCTCTCATTCCGCTCTTGCGGCTCCCTTCTACGACCCCTTTCATGCAGTGAACCCCCCCGAGAAGTCAAATCACCCTCTACTGTAGCACCTGTAGTAAACGTAACCCCATTCCCAGGCAGCCGCAGCAGGCTGCAGTCGTATCCTCCGTTGTTTCGGATCAAGTCAGAATCTGACGGCCCACCATGTGTTTGCATCGGGTCAGGAAGAGTAGAGGCACTGGGACCTGTGGCTTTGGGAACTTGAGTGACTCTGCAGCGAAGGCTTTGCAAGTAGTTGTCGGAGGGTTGGCTTGAGTCGGAGGGTTGTCCCTCAGGGGCGACAGGGGAGACAGTGGGTGGCACTGCTGCTGGTAGAGGGAGGAGAGCAGATGGTGAAGAGAACGGTAGCTGCTGCTGCTGCTGCTGCTGCTGCTGCTGCTGCTGCTGTTGCTCCTGCTCCTGCTGCTGCGGCCCCTTCGGCTGCCATCCCATCTCTCCCCAACATGAACCAATGCTGCCAGGAAACGCATAAGCTGGCATTTCAGCAGGCTGCTGCCTCCTTTCTGTAAACCCCGTAGCAACAGCAACAGCAGTAGCCACCCTAGCTGCTCTTCTAGCCTGTTTTCCTGCCATTTTTTTCCTCGCCTCAAGCTCAGTCCCATTGAACAATCGAATGTACTCAAACCATGCTGGTTCTGTCCTAGTCCCCCTACCCTTCCGCCCCCCCTTGGGCCTTCCCCTCACTTTTGCCTGCGCCCCTGCGTTCCCCCCTGACTCGTTATTAGGCTGATCATCCGCGTTAGTAACCCCTCCCTGCCGCTGCTCAACTGAGCCCCCCACCGTCCCCCCCCGCTTCCTCCGCCGCTTCTGCTTCCGCCGCTGATTGTGAATCTCCTGGTCGTAGCGCGTATTCATGCGCTCCCACTGCTTCGCCATTGCCGTCGGAACGCGCCGCCACTCAGGGTTGGCGCGTCTGAGCACGCGCCACACCTGCCAAGAGTATACACGACAGCAACAACAACTCTTTTTGTTAAAAAAAATGTTCAGAAAGTTGCAGTGTTTGTTTACAATGTTTTCAGGACTTGCTGCCATATATGACAAATGCTCTTAGAGCGGTTTTACCCGCCAGATCACACGCCGCACCTGTCGCCAGTAATCTTGCCCAATGCTCCGTCGCGTCGCCTCCTCGCTGCGCCGGCAGAAAACGACAGCCGCTGCGAGCTCCATCAGCTCCGCATCGCTCCAAAGGCTCCTCCGCGCCGCGAGCTCCACCATTATCTCGTCTTCGTTCTCGCATCCCCGTAGTTCGTACCAAGGGACCTCGAGACCACCCAGTTCCCCCACGCGACCCGGTTCCCCCACGCGACCCGAATCCTCCACGCGATCCGGTTTCCGCACGCGACCCTGCTCCTCCACGCGACCCGTTTCGGCCTCTGTATCCATTTCCCTGTCTCGATCCGTTTCTCTGTCTCGATCCGTTTCCCTCTCTCGATCCGTTTCCCTGTCTCGAAACGTGTCTTCTGTTGAGTCATACGCCCTTCCGAGCCGCTCTCCGAGGTGGTACTCGTCGATATCGTACGAGTCGTCCGACTCGCCGTCGTCGTTTTCGGCGTCCCTTTCGCCATCGTCGTCGCTCTCGTCATCGTCGTCGCTCTCGCCATCGTCGTCGCTCAAGTCGTCGCTAACGTCGTCACCAAAGTCGTCTCCGTCGTCGGCGTCGCTTTCGTCGTTTTCGTCGGCGTCGCAGCGGGTTAACGCGGCAGAGTGATGCTCCTTAATCCACCGAACGAAAGGAGGATCGGATCGTACAATCGTCGCCCAATCGACTTCCGTGCCCTCCTGGCCTGGTATACCGTTACCTGCACGATTCCTAGACGCCATGATGATTTTGATACGTGGCTATTACCAAAGTGACAGGAAATCTGTGCTACCAGGACGCGTTCAGAATTGTTTAAAGAGCCGGACATGGACCAGAAAAGACCGTACGTCTTGTCCGTGCAGGGTGACCAGTAAGGGAGGTCCGGTTTGGAAAGACGCGACGTTTCTAGACTGCTAGCTGGACTCTAGGTCTGTCTTGCCTCTGACAGACAATGAAGACTGATTGACAGAAACGCCTTGGGAATACACACACGACGGTGGCTGGTTATCAGAGCAAGTACCGGAGAACTGATCGTTACAGTTCGGTTTATCTTTGCGAAAGAACGGTTTAAAAGGGCATTAATACAATAAGATGTCGATCAGGTTATCCATCCCGTCGCAAACAACTCTGGCTGACACGACGACTCTCATGTCGTTCCCGCTTGTCTTGCAACGCTGAAAATCGTAGTAAGCGGTCAGCGGGGAACTATTTTCAGGGTCAGGAAAAAATTCAGCAGCGTCAACGATAATTAGACACAACATATTAACGACTTTCGAGTTTCGCGAGTCTCTCAGAGCGGCTATATTCACCGAGATGGTAACAGACGAAGACACACCCAGACAGCCCAAACCTGTCGCATCCCTGGCTGGTCACTGATTGGGGCCTTGGATGAGGGCACCTGCCCGCTTTTTAGAAGCGTAGTACAGTGAGAGTTCTGCCACGCAACTCCAGGAGAAGCCACCACAGGACGTCCTTTGCGGGCAGTGGTCACGACCAATGGCTGACACGTTAAGCGGCTTGACACCGTATGGTGATGGTTGTGTCGCCCAGAGACAAGCCCACGAAGGAGATTGTTTCTCAAACAGGCCCTTCAGTTCTATATCAGGTTTAGGGCATCCCGTTGTCAGAGAGCAGACTCGAGAGTGTTCACTGACTCTAAACGAACCATGAAAGTTTAAATTAGACGCAAATACCACAAGTTATTCACACATATACTACCGTATACTACTGATGCAATAGAAATCTGTCATGTAGTGCGCCGAAGAAAGATTTGAATTACTCGCCCCACCTCCTCTCCATAATCTTCCTATGCATGATGCCCCACCTGCTCGGAAAGGAATTCATGCAAGGAAAGAAGACGAAAACAACAGCGAAGAAAAATGAAGATGCGGCGGGATCAAGAAAAAAGGGGCACAAAGAGCAGGATATAGTTGGCACAACACATGTGGGGACAGCTCAATGAAAGTTAAGGGATGCTTTTGCAACCTTACAAAACATCTTGTCCTCATTTCCTCAACACTCACCTCGTCTAGAGTCACAAAAACAGCCCCTGCTAAGCCTCCCAACCAATCCCCATCAAAGGACAGCCAGCGATCCTTCATGCCCCACATGACCGTGGCTGCGGAGGAGGGCTGGCGTGACAGTTGCCTCACCCATGCGTCATTCCCTCTACACCCATGCATCAATCCCTCTGCACTCATCTCGAGTAGAGTCACAAGCACCGCCCCTGCCGCTCAACACACTTCACGAACTCCTTGGAAGGACAGCCAGCGGACATTCATGCCGCAGATGACAGAGGATGAGGAGGAAGGCGGGCTTGACCCCAAGAACGGGCACTATGGGTGAGGCGACTTTTGAGTCGACTCAAAAGTCACCTGGATGACAGTGGGTGAGGAGAAAGGCTGGCTTGACCCCAAGAACGGGCACTATGGGTGAGGCGACTTTGAGTCGACTCAAAAGTCACCTAGATGACAGTGGATGAGGAGGAAGGCTGGCTTGACCCCACGCTTCTCGAACGCCGTCAAAAGACTGCCAGCGGTCCTCCTTCATGCCCCACATGAGGAGGCGGGTTGGCGTGACTAACTCTTGTTTCCTCTATCTGCTCTCACCTCGTCCAGAGTCACTAGAACAGGATCCCCGTCAAAAGAGTGCCCTACAAGTGTCACGATCCCCGTCAAAATACTGCCCTACAAGCGTAAGGATCCCCGTCAAAAGACTGCCAGCGGTCCTCCTTTATGCCCCACATGAGGAGGGTTGGCGTGACACTGAGTCGTTTTCATAACTTACTACCAATTGAGGGTCCTCCTTCCTCTGTCTGTATGTACTAACACGTGGCATGTGCTCATCATGTGGGGCATGTACGAGCCACTCACTCACCTCGTCCAGAGTCACTAGAACGGCCCCGGCTGCCCTGCGCGCTTCCCTGACCTCGTCAAACGACTGCCAGCGGTCCTTCATGCCCCAGATAATGGTGGAAGAGGAGGAGGGCTGGGCAGACACAGCAGCGAGGGCCTTGGAGACCAGAGGGTGTGACGCCTGGTAAGGGGTGTGGATAAAGAGAGAGGGAGGGCACAAGCAGGCATTATCAAGCCAAAGCCCAGTGGCAGCAGCAGCGGGGACTGAGAGGGGAGGGGAGAGACAGCTGAGAGGGCCTTGGAGACCAGAGGGAGGGACGCCTGTGGGGATAAAAGGCACATGCAGGCATTATCAAGCCAAGGCCCAGTGGTGGCACCAGCAGCGGGGACTGAGAGGGGAGGGCCACGTGATTGAAGAAGGGTTTTGAGACGTCTCAAAACCCTTCTTCAAGCAGCGGGGATTGAGAGGGGAGGGCAGAGACAGTAGATCTGCCCTTGGAGAGCAGGGGGGGGGGACGCCTATGAGGAGGGAGGGACGCCTGTGAGGAGGGAGGGCACAAGCACGCATTATCAAGCAAAAGCCCAGTGGCAGCAGCAGCGGTCCTTCATGCCCCAGACTACTGTGGCTAAGGAGGAGAGTGGCAGCAGAAGCATTATCAAGCCAAATTCGAGTGGCGGCAGCAGCGGTGGTTGATGCCCCCAGATGACAGGAGGAGAGCTGGCTTGAGGAGGAGGGACAGTGAGGGCCTTGGCGACCACCAGGGGGAGTGACAGCTGGGAGGGAAGAGGGAGGGAGAGAGGGGGGGAACAAGGGGGGGCATGAAATGACTGCCAGCGGTCCTTCATGCCCCAGATGACAGTGGGTGAGGAGGAGAGCTGGCATTAAGCGGCCGAGAGGCCCTTGGCGACCACCAGGGGGAGTGACGGCTGGGAGGGGCAGAGTGGGGAGCGGGGAAGAATAAAGCCAAAGCTCTGAGCGGTGGCAGCAGCAGCAGCAGCAGCAACAGCGGTGGTTGATGCCCCCAGATGATAGGAGGAGAGCTGGCATTAAGACAGCAGGAGGGCTGGCTTGAGAGGAGGGCTGGCTTGAGGAGGAGGGCTGGCTTGAGGAGGAGGGCTGGCTTGAGAGGAGGCCTGGCTTGAGACTGCAGATCTGGCCTTGGCGACCACCAGGGGGAGTGACGGCTTGGAGGGGGATCGAAGCAAAGCCCGATGCGCCACTGGCCCGGGTGATGGCTGTGAGGTGAGAGCACAGCCCCATGCGCCACTGGCAACGTAGGGCCGGCAGTATGGTAAAAAGCTCTACCCTCCTTGTGCGGGACAGCCCACCTTGCTCACCTTGAGCTCCTTTTGTTGTCACTCATGGTTGGAATGGCAGCAGTACTAGTGAAACGCTTTAGAGCAGCAGTACTAGCAAGTAAAGAAAAAGAGTGAAAAATACCCTAGCTAAGACAACAGCCCACCTTGCTCACCTTGAGCTCCTTTTGAAAGGCCCTCGTTATGGCTGTGAGGGCACAGCCCCATGCGCCATGGGATAGGTGCAGTTGCTGTGAGCTCAAAACCCATCCCATCCGCTCTGCATACCTTGAGATCCTTTTGAAACGCTCGGGTGATGGATGTGAGTGCAAACCCCGAGGCACCACTGGCGAGGTAGGGCCGGCGGTACACCATTGCATCCTCCTCGTCTATCAGGTAGCAGCCGGCCTCCTCTAGTACCCGATCGCTAGCACGTAGCGGGTCCTGCCAGCAGGGGATATGAGAGGGGCAAGGGGAGTGAGGTAGGGCCAGCGGTACACCGTTGCATCCTCCTCGTGGATCAGGTAACAGCCGGCCTCCTCCAGCACTCGATCGCTCGCACGTAGCGGGTCCTGCCAGCAGTTGGAGAACGAGGAGCAAGGGGAGAGCCAACTTTTGAGGCGCCTCAAAAGCGGGTCCTGCCAGCAGTTGGAGAACGAGGAGCAAGGGGAGAGCCCAGACGGTGAATGGGTGGCGAGGTGAAAAAAGGAGTGTTTTGAGACGTCACAAAACAAGGGGAGAGCCCAGAAGGTGAATGGGTGGCGAGGTAGGGTCGGCGGTACACCACTGCATCCTCCTCGTCGATTAGATAGCACCCCCCTTCCTCCAGCACTCGATCACTGGCTCTTAGTGGATCCTGGCACGTGGTGAAGGGTGGACGTGAGGGTAGAGAGAGATTGACGGGATGGTAAAGGGGTGAGGCACTGGCAAGGTAGGGTCGGCGGTACAACATGGCATCCTCCTTGTCTACCAGGTAGCACACCGCCTCCTCCAGTGCAGATGGGAAGAGGGGAAACCGCGGGGTGCCCACTTCATGACAAGGTACGGCCGGTGGTACACCATGGCATCCTCCTCATCGATTAAACAACACCCTGGCTCTCTTCCAGCACTGGCTCCCAGAGGGTCGTGCAAAAGTGCCAGCAGCAAGAGGAGTGGGAGAGGAGTGGGAGAGGAGTGGGAGAGTGAGAAGAGTGAGAACGGCGAGCAGGAGGGCAGCTTGGGCACGGAAGGTTTTGAATAGAGCTTGCCTAGCAGTCAGAGTTTTAAATGGAGCTTTTCTACAAGTGACTATCAGGAGTTTGCTAAAGCATAGGGATTCCTGAGAATGCTCAACAGCAGCACAGGGCTGCTGCTTCCACGACTGGGGAACCATTTCCCCTCCCCCGCCCCCCTAAGTCCCCCAAGTCCCCCAAGTCCCCCAAGTCAACTGGGGGCAGAACAGAATTTCAACTGGGGGCAGAACAGAATTTCAACTGGGGGCAGAACAGAATTTCAACTGGGGGCAAAACAGAATTTCACCTCTGGGCAAAACAGAAGTTCACCTCTGGGCAAAACAGATGTTCACCTCAGGGCAAAACAGAATTTCACCTCAGGGCAAAACAGAATTTCACCTCAGGGCAAAACAGAATTTCACCTCAGGGCAAAACAGAATTTCACCTCAGGGCAAAACAGAAATTCACCTGGGGGCAAAACAGAATTTCACCTGGGGGCAAAAGAGATTACCCCATGGGGGCAAAAGAGAACTTGCCCTGGGTGGGGGCAAAACAAAACTTGCCTAGGGTGGGGGCAAAACAGAACTTGCCCGGGAAATAGAATCCTACCTGGGGAGAAAAGAGACTGTTCCGGGGTTGGGAAGAGAATGGACCGAGGTTGGAAATCAGAATCTGGTTTGTTGGGACAACAGGGGGGAGAGAGTAGTGGGGAGGAGAGTGTGCCTTGATGACCCGAGCCTAGCTGCCCCGAGCCTTGACGCCCCAAGCCTTGGCGCCCCGAGCCCAGCTGCCCCGAGCTGGCTGGAGGGGAATGGGAGGCAAGGAGCAAAGGCAGGTGGACACCCTCACACAATCACCCATCCCAAGCACCAGAACGGGTCGGATCGTGGGCAGAAACGAGAAGACCACGGCTCGTACAGTAGCTAGGCAAAGCGCAAGCGCGAAACGACGACCAAACGGCGAACAACGAAGGAAAGGCATGGCGCGCGTCGCGGAAAGAGCACTGACCCACGAGCGCACCTGCATCTGCTGCCGATCGTTCTCTATTCGCCGCGCCTTGTGATTTCGGTCCAATCCGTTCTAAAAGGCGCCGCGCCATGTGCATTTCAGTCCACGAAGCTCATGCAAGGTCAGCGGGGAAAATGCAGGATATCAGGTCAAGAGCGGCACGAGACGCCCATATCGGGTCGCGCATGGCTTCTAGAAGCGAGTCGCGACCTGCTAGCTAGAGCGTTTATCGAGCGATACATGAGAGAAAGGAGGAGCAAAAACGTGAGCGAGAGATTGCGAGATGGGAGGCAAGGAAATTCGAATTGGTGCAGCCGCGGGCGAGGGGGTGGGTGGCGAAAGGACAGGGGAGAGAGGCAAAAGTGCAGGGGAGGTAAGGAAAAAAAGAAGTAAAGGGAAAAAAGGAACCCAAAACCGAGTGGAGTGGGCAAAAAACGATAACGAGAACTAAACGTGGGTGGGAAAAACATGACGAGGGGAAATCTGCCATTTCAGTCCCAACCTCACACAATCAAACCCTAAAAACAGGGTCAAATACCTTCTCAACTCTGCAACCTCGAAGCGCGTGCGGAGAATCTTGGGTCGTCCAGTAATGCAGTAAGTGGCACCGCGGGTCTTGAATCCGTGACACAAACAACCTCCCCTCCACATACATTTGACGAGACGCATTCACCTTATTGAGGGATTCAAAACGGGAGCACCATTAGAACGTTGCAGTGTAAACACATAATCAAAAAGTGTTTCCATCAGATTGAAACATGTTAATTTCATTGGTTCATTCTCTAGACCATAAACAACATTTTTTTCTTTACAGGACTGGGTGAGAGCAGCTGCAACGCGGAGAATGTTGGCCGGTCGCTCTCACTACTGTAGCGCGAAAACAGATGCGCATGTCCGTGAACTTGAATAACGAGGTAGTAATCTCGTAACTATCCCTCCTCGGTATTGCGTCACGCTCCGCCACGTCACTACAGGATGTGCCACGCATCACCACGTTACTATGGGTTGCGTCACGCAACGCCACGTCCCTACGGGATGCGCCACGCATTGCCACGTCACCATGGGATGCACCATGCATCGCCACGTCACCACGCGCAGCGCAACGGATTGCCACGTCACTATGGGTTGCGTCGCGCAATGCCACATCCCTAGGGCATGCGCCGCGCATCGCCATGTCAACACGGGATGCACCATGCATCGCCACGTCACCACACGCAGCACAACGCATTGCCACATCACTATGGGTCGCATCACGCAACGCCAAGTCACTACGGGATGCGCCACGCATCGCCACGTCACCAAGGGATGCGCCATGCATCGCCACGTCACCACGGGCAGTGCCACGCATCGCCACGTCCCAATGGGTCGCGTCACGCAATGCCACATCACTACAGGATGCACCACGCATCGCCACGTCACCACGGGATGCACCACGCATCGCCACGTCATCACGAGCAGCGTGACACATTGCCACGTCACTATGGGTTGCGTCACGCAATGCCACGTCAATATGGGATGCGCCACGCATCGCCACTCCATTGCAGGCAGCGCGACGCATCCAAACGTCACTATAGGTTGCGTCACACAACGCCACGTCACTACGGGATGCCCCATGCATCGCCGCGTCACCAGGGGCAGCGCTACGCACCTCCACGTCACTATGCGTTGCGTCACACAATGCCACATCACCACGGGATGCGCCACGCATCGCCACGTCGCCACGGGATGCGCCATGCATCGCCACATCACCACGGGCTGCGCCACGTATCGCCACGTCACAATGGGTTGCGTCACGCAATGCCACATCACTACAGGATGCGCCACGCATAGCCACGTCACCACGGGATGCACCACGCATCCCCACGTCATCACGAGCAGCGTGACACATTGCCACGTCACTATGGGTTGCGTCACGCAATGCCACGTCGCTATGGGATGCGCCACACGTCGCCACGTCACCGCAGGCAGCGCGACGCATCGCGACGTCACTATGGGTTGCGTCGCGCAACGCCACGTCACTACGGGATGCGCCACGGATCGCCACATCACCTCGGGCAGCGCTACGCACCGCCACGTCACTATGGGTTGCGTCACGCAATGCCACGTCACCACGGGATGCGCCATGCATCGCCACATCGCCACGGGATGCGCCATGCATCGCCACGTCACCACGGGCAATGCCACGCATCGTCACGTCACTATGGGTTGCGTCATGCAACGCCACGTCACTACAGGATGTGCCACGCATCGCCACGTCACTATGGGTTGCGTCACGCAACGCCACGTCGCTACGAGATGCGCCACGCATCGCCACGTCACCACGGGATGCACCATGCATCGCCACGTCACCACGGGCAGCGCTACGCACCGCCACGTCACTATGGGTTGCGTCACGCCTTGCCACGTCACCACGGGATGCGCCACGCATCGCTACGTCACCACGGGCAATGCCACGCATCGCCACGTCACAATGGGTTGCAACACGCAACGCCACGTCACTACACGATGTGCCACGCATCGCCACGTCACTATGGGTTGCATCACACATCCCCACGGGATGCGCCATGCATTGCCACGTCACCACGGGCTGCGCCACGCATCGCCACATCACTATGGGTTGCGTCACGCAACGCCTCGTCACTAAAGGATGCGCCACGCATCGCCACGTCACCACGGGATGCGCCATGCATCGCCACGACACCACGGGCAGCGCTACGCATCACCACGTCACTATGGGTTGAGTCACGCAACGCCAAGTCACTACGGAATGCGCCACAGATCGCCACATCACCACGGGAAGCGCCATGCATCGCCACGTCACCACGGGCAGTGCCACGCATTGCCACATCACAATGGGTTGCGTCACACAATGCCACGTCACTACAGGATGCGCCACGCATAGCCACGTCACCACGGGATGCACCACGCATCGCCACATCATCATGAGCAGCGTGACACATTGCCACGTCACTATGGGTTGCGTCACGCAATGCCACGTCACTATGGGATGCGCCACGCAACGTCACGTCACCGCAGGCAGCGCTACGCATTGCCACGTTACTATGGGTTGGGTCATGCAATGCCACGTCACTACGGGATGCGCCACGCATCGCCACGTCGCCACGGGATGCGCCATGCATCGCCACGTCACCACGGGCTGCGCCACGCATCGCCACATCACTATGGGTTGCTTCACGCTACGCCACGTAAGTAAAGGATGCGCCACGCAACGCCACGTCACCACGGGATGCGCTATGCATCGCCACGTCACCACGGGCAGCGCTACGCATCACCACGTCACTACGGGTTGCGTCACGCAATGCCACGTCACCACGGGATGCGTCACGCATCACCACGTCACCACGGGCAATGCCACGCATCGCCACGTCACAATGGGTTGCGTCACGCAACGCCACGTCACTACAGGATGTGCCACGCATCGCCACGTCACTATGGGTTGCATCACGCAACGCCACGTCCCTACGGGATGCGCCACGTCACCACTGGATGCACCATGCATCGCCACGTCACCACGCTGTCAGAACTTATATTTGTAACTGCCTGTAGCTATAGTTAGTGTAGTTATTATAAACTTTGTTTGGTGGTGCACCTTATTTGTTTCCTTTGCTATATGTTCTTTGAAACCTATAGTGAAACCATCCTTTTCAACATTCTCGGCTCTCACCCTAGGCACAACCTACTCGACATCCTAGTTGGGCCTAGGCTCCTAAGCCTAGGCCCGAGTTAAACTTGATCATCCTTGTTCCAATTTCGATATGCTATCAGAGCGAGTTACGTCCTGGCCTGTGGGCCCGCCTCATGCTTCCGCTGCTACGTTTTTTC